AACCACTACGCTACCAGAGCAAAAATGCTATTGATCATAAAACAGAAAAACAACAAATGTTAGCAAGGTTACAGGGAATATGGAGCTCTTATACATCACTGGTGGGATTATAAAATGATGCAACTACCTTGGAAACACTTCAAAAAGCTAGAAATCGAAATATCTTTTAATTCAGTAATTCCACTCATAGGTATGAATCCTAGAGAAATAAGAGCTGTGACACACAATATCATACTGAGTGAAAAGGACAAATACTGTACAGTTTCAGTTTTATATAAAGTCAAGAGGTACATATGTATATGTGATGACTACCAGGGATGGGAGAGGGAAGACATGGGGACATTTTTCTAGAAAAGAACCACTAGCCATTCTTGGTGAGGGGAAAGGCAACACCCAATACAGGTGAAATGTGCAGAGCTTGTCTAATGTGAATGAAGACACTAACATGTGTCCAAGCATAAGGGACAATTTTGGTAAATGCTATAATACATAATTTTGCAACAACAATAACAACCCAAAAGATGTGTGTGGTTACATATATAGATATGTATGTATCTAAGAAGACACATGTGATTATATGAGCACACATGTACAGGTTATCTGTAGACATATGTACATACACGTTTATGTATACCACACATAAAATCATAAATATAATAAACCACATAGGGGGCACAGTTGCAGATCCTGTGCAGACACAATCAAATACCTTATGTGATAGGTTTGAGGGATTGGACGATAGGGTCCTGGGACAACTCAGTCATCTGGCATAACATAGTTCAAAAAATACTGTTCTGCCATCGTAATTTGATGAGAAGCTTCTGGCCTCTGAAAAGCTTGGACATCTAAGATTCAACTGTTGGTCTTTACAAACCAAAAACTCAAGGAAGAAACTAGTTCTCAGGACTAACAGTGGACATGCACCACAGCCTCCTCTAGCATGAGACAGGGAAATAGATGGCGTCCAGCTACCACTACCAATCCTTCCGACCAGGGACACAACAGAAGGTACTGGTTAGAATACAAGAAAAATGTAAAACAGAACTCAAATTCTCAAAAGAGGACAAACTTACTGGACTGATACAGAGTAGAAGAACCCCGAGACTATCACCCTAAGAGACCGTTTGAACTTGAAACTAAAATTACTTCCAGTGGTCACATTTCATCCAAATAAAAGACTGTCTTATAAAATAAACAGTCTCACTTGTGAAAACTGTGCCCCCTTATAAAATCACCTATAGGAGATCAAATGGTCAAAATTAACCATAAAACAAAGATGAAAAGCAAAGGAGGGACAGAGAAATTAGATGAAAGGAAACAGATAAAAAACAATGGAAATTAGAATATTGACATATTGTTAAAAAGTAACATGTGCCATGGAACAATGGGAAACTAATTTTCTATGTAAACTTTCACTTAAAACACAATAAAATCTTTGTTTTAAAAAATACACTTGAAAATTATTCAATTACCTTGGAAAATCATTTGGCAGTTTCCCTGAGTGTCACCAATATTAAGACTAGTAATAGAGGGCTGAGGTTGGCCCAGGATCGGACATTGTTTCGTTCTGCTGTGCATGAAGTCGCTATGAGTCGGTGCCGACTCGATGGCACCTAACAACAACAGTAATTAAGCTTGTGAATTGGTAGAACGATAAGACGCAGAAACAGTCCAGCACAGACTGTCACATACTCAGATATTTGATTTATGATAAAGGTGACCATGCAGAGCACTGGGGAAAGGACAAGACTTTGAATAAATGCTCAAGACTCAAATGGGTATCATTCTGGAGAACAACAATAACAATAAAAAGAAGTTTGACACTCACACCTCATAATCTACTAAAAATTCATTCTGGTTAGATTGAAGCTCTAAATGTAAAAGGTACAATGATCCAATTTCTAGAAGAGTACATCAGATAGTACTTCTTCATAACCGTCTGAAAAGTAAACATCTTTAAAACTGTCTACAAAGAGCAGTAATGCCAAAAGGAAGAGTGATAGGTTCTATTATATTAAAATTAAGAGTGTCAGTTCTTGAAAAGGTACCAATCAGCTTCTGCTTGGGATGAGGAGAAAGTTTTAGAAACAGGTAAGAGCTGATGGGTACATAACATTGTGAATGCAATTAAGGCCACTGAAATGTACCCTTAAAAATGGCTAAAAAGACAGATGTCATGTTATCTAGATTGTACCACAATAAAAACAAATAAGGCACCATTTTAAGAGATAAAAGATAGGTTTTATCTAAATAGAAGAAAACTTGAATATAAATTATCATGCCCTACTCTGGTAGC